TAATTAAAATGTTCTGTTTTCCCTCCCTTGTTCCTTCACAAAGGTACAACAGCAAAATCCAATCTTGTGACTTGAAGCATCAGCTAAAGATCGTACAATAACAACCAGTATGGAGCGATACAAAGTGTCATCTAAAAAAAGGAATTAAATTTGAACGAGTTTATGAAGTAAGATAATGGTGTAAGTGTCGGGTAATGGCGCACGTTTAGATCCATACACGCTGTCTGAAGTCCTTCAGGAAAGAGTCGTGCGGAAAGTTGAGTCATCTCAGTGCAGTGATTCCCGGTACACTAATACATGCAGAGCTGGTAATCACCTCTGTGTGTCTGAGTCTGGAGGAAGAATCTCACACATGATTAGGGACAAGAAGAAGGCCTGTCACAGACACGGCTCCTGCGAGGTCGACCTGTCAGCACTGCCCTAACACTCGGCTACTGGAAATTGCCTGACTTATCAAAGAGAAACCGGAAAATGAGGCTGGGACTTCAGTTAACCAAGCCTCGTCAGACATTCCCATCAGCGGCGTGTCATGGGAGAAGTTCAGTCAGCCTCGTAACAGCCTGGTCTTTTCCTGTTCTCCATTCACTGGCCTAGAAAGCATTGTCCGCATTGTAGGGACAAACGGTAAAGTCCTGGGGGATGTGCTTCCTCAAGTTTACATGCACCCTTCCTTATCCTAATCAGCTGAAGTTGGTGTATATTTTAAGTGCATTCTTATTGGCAGACATTAGCTCTTGTTTGGTCTTTGATTGTAGCCTTTAATTAGATTCATACTGTGCTGAAATATAAAATTGAAACTATTTTACATATAAGCAAAATACTGCTCAGTAGGGTCTTTACCAGATGTTATCGGGTGGACATCAAATATTTAAGATAAATATTTTGTAACGCACAATGAGAGGCCTCCTGATTGGCGTTTAACTGCATGTCTTTGGACTGTGGAAGGACACATGCAGCATGGGGACAACATATCATGTACAGATAGGGGGATTCGAACCCCCAACATTGGGGGTATGAACCATAACATTTCATATAACATATTATATGTATAAATACATCCATGCAAATACTGTGCACAATATCAAGAGCAGGAAAGGTATGAGCATGACATGGAAAACAAGTTTACCAAGAGTAACGTCACTTTACATCACTGCACCTAGTAAAATATAATTACTATTTGACTGAAGTATGGAGCATGAGGGTTGGGGGGGGG